TCTGCTTTCGGGCTCTCATTCTTTATTAACATATTAAACGCAGATTTAACTGAGAATTCACCATTCACACTCTCTCCCCATGCCACACGATCCCCAGCTCCCGTGACATTATCCAACACCACGGAGAGAAGCTCCAACCATGTATTCTCCGAAACAAATGGTTTGATCATCTGCGTGTCCCACCCTCTTCCATCTCTCCATAAATCTTTTACTAGAACGTCCTCAGCCCCCGGAGGTAACAGACCCACACTATCATTAACTAACCGCCTGTTTGCCAACCACTTGTCACTCCAAAACCGGATCTGCCTCCCGTCTCCCAGAACCCAACTTAAACCCGGCATCACCACCTCTTTCATCCCCGTGATAACACTCCGCCAAGTCGGCGACCAAGTGTTTTTCTTTACCAGCCAAGTACCATCCCGTAACTCCCCCATTTTATACTTCTTTCTCAACAACTTGGCCCATAAACTCTCATGATCCTGGATTAGTCGCCAACTCAGCTTGGCTATAAGCGCTTTATTCATGTCTTGCGCCTTCCTTATTCCTAGCCCTCCCTCGGATCTTGGAACAGAAACTCGACTCCAAGATATTAAGTGTTGTTTCTTGTGTTCCAAGGTACTGCCCCAAAGGAAAGATTTAGAAACTTGATCCAACTTGGCCAAGATGGACTGCGGTAGACAAATAGTACTCATGGCATGAACCGGGATCGAAGATAACACTGCTCTTGTTAATGTTATACGACCCGCAAGACTTAGGAACCGACCCTTCCAACCCGATAGTCTCGAAGATATTCTCTCCAGTGTCTCTCCGAAAGTATCTTTATTAATCCTTTTTTGTAACACCGGCATTCCCAAATACTTGCCTAAATCCCGTGTAGACTTAATTCCACTCTCCTCACTAATTAGCTTCCCCAATTCTCTAGATACATTCTTAGAAAAATATATCTTCGACTTCTCCAAGCTAACTTTTTGCCCAGACGCCTTGCAAAATGTTTCCAAGATCCTCCTTAATATTCGAATTTGCGAGACAGAAGCTTCCGCAAATAAAATAAGATCATCCGCAAAGCATATATGGGAGAGTTTTGGGCCTCCCTGCGAAAGACTAATCGGCTTCCACTCCTTCTCGGAGACAGATCTATTAATCATATGACATAATCTCTCCATACACAACACAAAGAGATATGGAGAGAGCGGATCTCCTTGCCGAAGTCCCCGCATAGGCTGGAAAGAGTCAGTTTTCTCACCGTTCCACAAAAGATTCATAGACGGACCCGAAACACAACGCATTATCCATCTAGTCCACTTCTCCGATAAACCCGCGGCTACTAGTGTGTCCTCCAGAAAGTCCCAGCGAATTCGATCATACGCTTTTTCCAGGTCCAGCTTCAACAACATCCAACCTTTTCGTCCTTTCTTGCGACGCATGGAATGAACCGCTTCTTGGACGACCACAATATTATCCACACTTAACCGTCCTGGAATAAAACTCGCTTGGTACGGTCCAACCAATTTATCCATTACACATTTCAACCGCCCCACCATAGTCTTTGTAATGATTTTGAACAACACATTACAAAGACTAATCGGTCTGAATTGTGTAATCCTCTCCGGTTTAGCTATTTTCGGTATTAGCACTAGCAGTGCATTATTTGTATCTCGCGGTAACACATCCGAATCAAAAAAGTCCAGAACGAATTTAAGCACCGATTCTCCAACCACTTCCCAGCAATCTTGGTAGAAAACGGGCTGAAACCCATCCGGACCCGGTGCCTTAAACTTCCCCATAGACTTCACCGCCTTGACGACCTCAGCTCTCCCAAACGGTTTGTTCAACTCCCGGATCTCATGACTAGCTATTTTCGGGAAACCAAGTTGCGGTAGTGACTCCACCACCTGCTCCACATCATCTAGAGAATATAATCTCTTGTAATAATTAGTGGCCAACTGCTCAAGTTCTGAAGGCTCAGAAACCCACACTCCCTCATCCGATTTCAGCAACTCAATTTTATTTCTCCTTCTCCGTATCACCGTAGAGGTATGGAAAAACTTCGTGTTGCGTTCCCCTAGCGCAACCCATTTCTCCCTAGACTTTTGGAACCAGAGCATTTCTTCTTGTTCTAAGACCACCTCAAACTCCTTAAGTAGCTCATCCTCTCGGGTTAGCAATGCATCTGTCGGGCTATGCTCAAGAAGATCCTGTACCACCATGATTTCGCCCATGAGCTTCTCTTTCCGTAACTGCACATCCCCAAACACCTCCTTATTCCACCTTCGCAGAGTTATTTGTAGCTGATCCAAAGCTTCCGGAGTTGAAATATCACTATTCCAAGACGAAGTTAAGAGATCTTTGAAACCCGAGTGACTCAACCACGCAGCCTCAAACCGAAACGGCCTTCTCTTAGGATTACCTTTCACCTCGGGCTCCAATTGGACGTATAACGGTGCGTGATCCGACGCCAAATAAGGGAGATGTGTTACCACTGCTTCCTGCCACTTCAGCCTTGCTTGCGGGCAACACAATACTCGGTCTAAGCGCTTAGCCACATACCACCTTTCATCCCGTCCCCTTCTCCATGTATATTTATTCCCTCGAAACCCCATATCGATGAGAGACTGACCACTGATCCAGTTCCCAAAAGCTAGAGAATCAGGTGACAATTGTCCATTTCCCCCTGTTCTCTCATCTAGTCTTACAATCGTGTTAAAGTCGCCTCCCACCAACAGCGGACCATCAACACTGCCAATTACCTCACTAAGCCGGCTCCACAGTCCACTCCTCCGACTGACCGATGGAGCTGCATAGACAACAATTAGGTGCCATACTTCTTGGTCCCTTGTTATCTTCGCGTGAATAAACTGCTCCGCAGCTTCAACTATCTCCACCAGACCCGTTTTAGCTCTCCACAGCAGCCACAGTCCCCCACTCTGTCCCGCAGCATCAACACAAAAAGACTGATCAAATCCCAACCCTTGACATATACGCATTGCTCTCTCCCCGCCAGCATGCGTTTCAAACACCGCTAAGATATCAGTCTTGAATTTCTTCAAAATGTATCGAATAGAACGTCTAAAATTGGGTTTATTTGCCCCCCGGCAATTCCATAAGATGCAATTCGTCATATCTTTATATAAATAATAAGGAAAAACCGGGGAACCGTGCTATGCCTTCTCGGAGTTCTGTTCATGAGGAACCCCTGTACCCAGCCTCGCGATCTCCATTTGTCCTGAACCGCCACCCATGTTCTGGACTAACAACCGCTCTCCTTCTCTAGGTACTGTCCCCAAGTCTCCATTATCCGTCCGACTACCATTCGCAGCCATGAACACCCCTCCTGATCGACCAAGGCTGCGATTTGCAACTCTGAGTCTCTTCCCCGAGTTTATCAATTCCCTCTCTTCACTCATAGGCCCAAAAATCAATCCTCGTGTGGGCCTATTTTGTTTCATAATTTTGGGCCTATGCCTCTTCTGTTCAACAGGCTTAGATACTCCGGCCCGTTCATCCTGCGTAGGCCCACCCGACACATTCTTTTCAAAACCCCGACCCGCGCCAAATACCACCTCCTTGCCTTGCGCCCCAATATCCGCCCCTTTGCTCTGATTCACAAACTGCTCATTTTCCTTATTTGCACCCGAAATCAATTCACTCCCACCAATATCGGAAACTACCATATCCTCTACCAGATTTCCAAATCTGTTGGATGTCGCAATATTCCCAGAATCCTTCTCTTTAGTGATATCCCGCAGATTCCGGCCCATCACCGTATTCAAGCTCACCGTCGACCCACCCGTATCCTTCCCCGGTCTCCTGCCATTCCGCTTAACCAACGTAAAACCCTCATCACCATGTTTCTCGTTGATTGTAGATGGCTTCACTGCCCGTTGGATTACGGGCACCACCACGGAATTCTCCACAACTTTTTTAGGACAAGCATGGACCAAATGCCCATATAGACCACATAGGGAGCATATGTTTGTCAGACCTTCATACGCCACATAGTATCGCTCCCCATTCACCATGACTGTCCCTTTGAGAGGTTTCTGCAAGTTCACTTCCACACACACCCGCGCGAACCTGGCTCTCTCAAAGTTAAGCGTTGTCAAGTCAACTTTGATCGGTTTTCCCAACCCTCGAGCAATCCCCATCAAGATTGATCTATGATAAAAATTGACCGGAATATTGGATAACCGAACCCACACCGGCGTTGTCGTAATCTCATCGCGTAACGGATCAAACTCCGGCGTCCAAGCTTGAACCATTAAGTAGCTCCCAAAAACTCTCCACGGACCTCCCGTTAGAGCAGCCAAGTACTCTTCCTCCTCATCAAACCTGACCATAAAGAAGTGACGCGGCAAGTCCATCACGTGCATCGCTCCCTTTGGCTTCCACAACTCCCTTAATTTCCTACTAACCACCGAAATCGAAATGTTCCTCCCCAACACTTTAACAATCATACATCTCTTCCACAAACCGTTCATAGCCTCCAACACTTCCCTCCCAATCGTTATAACCGGTTCGCCATCATCCCCATTCGGAAACTCCAACTCCATCCGCTCAGCCACAAACTCATCATTCAACACACTCTCCGGTCTCACCATTCCACCGCCAACATTCCCTACCACCTTCTCCACCCAGGACCGCCGGCCATCTGGTGGATCCTCCGGGGGTCGATCTCTGTCTCCCGTGTCCATCACGATGTCCTCGTGAGCCGCCGCCGAAGAAACCCTAGAATCGCCCTCGCTCATGGTTTTCTATATTTGTCGTTTATTTCCACCGATATAGACCTAATAGAGTAACAATTATATACTTAATTTGATTTTCTTAATTATTCTTAATTCCTTTTATATTTCCCAAAAAGACCTAGAAAAGATGTTAGCGATTTAGCATCGAGTTCTTCTCCATTTCTCTCGATCCATCATTATGCTTTCTTTTTTCTTTTCTTTTTTTAAATTCGGCAATTTCTTGATGTTTTGTTCAATGTTGAATATAGAGAGACGACAGACAGAGGGAAAACAATAGTTTTTTGTCCTAATATTACAATAGGTGTGACTTGTTTCGGTTCCTTACACTGATTAAAGATAGAGATGACTACTACTAGTTATGTCGGCTGATTTATGAGCTTAGTGAAACCACACGTACTAGTGGTCTCACTAAACCAAGAATGTGGCAGTTCCACAATCACTCAATATATTTGGTAATGTGGATTACTGAAGAAGCTTATTGCAAGTTCCAACGCCAATGGCTGCGGCGAGATGCCAACCGGCGTGAATGAATGGTGTTTCAGGGAAAATATCATCAGCTATGAACAATGCTCCGCCCAATAACGAAGACATCTTGTGTACATCATGAGCCATTTTCAAATCTGGATCCTCTAAGGCTCGTTTCGCAAATGCTACCTGAGTCAAAAGTTGAGATTTGTGTTAGATTAGTGTCAACTGAGATTAGTTACATGGAGTGGAAAAGTTGAGATTTCTTAGCACCTCCATCATTCCAGTGTGAACAGCTGATACCACGAGAGGCTGGAACGGTAGAGCCAACGCTGATGCAGCCATCAAGAA